TGAACATAGTTATTTTCCCCATAAATATATATTTTGTTTAATTTTTTTATCACATACCTGCGCACACAAACATTATTACCATCATAAGCGAGTCTCAAGTAACAACAAAAAAAAAATAAATAAATATCCATGTCATGACACCTTTAACATACATTATATGTGACTTATTACTGTAAATAACAGAGAAACCAGTCCCTTGGCTATATAAATCCTAGTTTATGTATGCACACTTCATCTCGATCAACATCTTCAACAAAACAAAATCTACCAGAGAACCAATCCTCAAACTGTCTGACTAACCTGGAGCATTACTGGACCCAAAGCAAGCTCAGGAAGCGTTAGGAAAGATAAGATGACTCTGCTAGACTAATCCATTCTGGTGTGTGAGGCAGAGAGAGAGAGAGCGAGAGACTGAGAAAGAGAGAACAGCAGAGCAGTGACACGGGGTAATCCTCCGGGGTCTTGCATTAGCGCGCTAAATTAAAGGCGGTATTAGATTAAATTGGCTCTCCGATTTCAGGGGTGTAAGTAAAATTCTAATTTGCATTTTCCACTGCCGCTTAAGATATTATTAGTTCAGGGTGATTCCCAGGTGCAAAACACTGACAGCAACATCCAGCTGCTTACTGGGAGTTTATCATTTATTAGCAGCAAAAGGTGCAATCAGCTGGGTCTACATATATGTGTGTGTGCTTGTCTGGCTTTGAGTCAGTGTGTGTTTCTATGTTGTGTATTGGAAGCAAGTCCATTATTAATTGAAAAAAAAGTGTTTTAGCCTATATGTGTTTGCAGACTATCTGCACAGGCATCTGGTTTTCCTATACTGGTCATTACACATGTTGGCTCAATATAAATTAATGAAGGAGCTGTGTGTGGGTTGAGGATGCAAATCAGTCTTACTGCAAACTCAGATCATCCTACATTCCATCACACAAAGAATACAACAAAAAGAGTGCATTGAGCATTCAGAAGATCACAGAAAACACCTTAACATTATTCATTTGATCAGGTATTTCCTATGGTTATATGACATGATGTCTTGCAAGTGATTTTACAGTATACAGTGGGGCTGCACAATATTCAATTTTAGTAACAATATCTCAATGTGTGAATACGCAATAGTCATTTAGTCAGTTTAGTTTATTCATAATGAAGTGAAAGTTGATCAAATGCTTGTGTTTTTAGGCCCATGTAAATATTTTAAGCACGTTTAAAGCATTTAAGCACATGATTGTACTGAATTATTTACCCACTGAAGTATATACAGCTTTACTGTACATTTGATTCTTTTATTTCTGTACCTGTTTCCTGTGTCTCTGCTGGTAATTTGCTTACTATATTTTACACACTACAAAATCATCCCCATCCCTCTAACATTATTAATTATGTTATCTTGTGAAATCTCACAAGATAAATAGCAGAAAATCAAATTATTGCAATCTAGGTTTTTTTCCAATATCGCCCAACCCTAAAGTACTTTTGATCTCAAATAACGTTGTTAATTGGTTGATTTTAGGTTGTGTTGAAAAGTGACCAAAATACAATGTCGTGCTGCCATCTTAAACCAACATCATGTTGATGTCAAATACTGACATTTATTCGTCAGGTATAAAAAAAAAAATCCAACGCCTGATAGACGTCATAATGGTTATGTCCACAGCAATGTCAAGCTGTAACATCATTAGACGTTGATATTTGGTGGATTTTAGGTTAGACATTGAGGTCAGCCTGACATTGAGTTCTGATATCAACCTAATAATAGATAATAATAAATAAAGGTTATTAGCTAGTAATTTTTTTTTAAATGTCACTTTAGACAATTCTTTGGTTGTTAACAAGGTCAATTTTCTTTTTCGTCAAAACCAGCTAAATCTACTTGTGCTTTTTTTTTTGCAAAAACCTCTAAATCCACCTATTGTAACAAGAGCTGAAAAATCACAAAAGATGCAATTAGAAATTATTTTACCAAACATAAAACATTACATAAACCATCTGAAGTTAAAAACACATAAATCTGTCAAGTACAGGTAAGTGGTTCATTCGGCTGTGTTAATCCCTGATAAACTACGCCTAAGCAGAAGGAAAATAAATGAATGAAATCTGTCAAGTAAGTGCATTAATCAGTAACATTAATTAAATCTTTACAATCTGTTGTCGTTTCAGATATTTGGGATTTAGATTTAATGGAAGTAGAGCATTGTAAACATTGTAAATGCTGTGAACCAAGCTTGTTACATTTAAATGTGTGTAAAAACGTTGTGAAACATTAATATTTGTACATTGTCCATTAATATAAAAGTTTATCAGGCATATAAGTAATATGAAGTAATATAAATAATGTATAGTTTTATACATTATATTTTAAAATAGCTTACAATAGCATATAAAACACTAGGTGGGTCTACTGAGCAAAAAGGGGTTGTCTCTCAGACACTTAAAAACTGTCATCCATTCATTCTCACCATACTCAAGGTCTTGATCTCTTTTTCGTCTCTTGTTTATCCTCATGGCATCCATGCAGAATAGAAGAACGGCATCTTAACTATGTGTTTTGTAAAATGGAGTTTCTGTTTATTGTATAGTAAATCTGACTCATTTAAAGTAGCGTTACTGCGCAAAAAAAAAAAAAATGTTGAGTGTGCATGTTACACTTCTGACTGTGTTTTCTTTTTCTTACAATGCAGAGTTTTGAGGTAAGGGATGAATTAATTTGCCATTCAGTGACAGTCAGAGAGGCTCAAGCAATTAATCAAACTCCATCTTTTAAAATCGAAAACGAAAGTAGAATAAAACACTCTCCTCATAAAAGCCGACATTTCAGCGAGCTGTTACATTGAAAACATATGATTCGATTCGTGCCTTCTGATTGGTTCTCAAGATAGAGCTTCTTTTGCTTTCAAGGGCAAGTGGCGTTTAGAGGCTTTGCCAACAAATTGTTGTTTCTAAAAGAGCTGACGCTGGGATTTGGATAATTTGAAGCAATTAAATTTGGTGAACATGTACTATGTGCCTAAAAGCATTTCCTCAATGCCATTAGCTAATTTTTGACGGAAGTGTCGTTTAGCGGCTTTTGCATCTGAAATCTCAATATATATATATATACACACACACACACACGCACGCACGCACGCACACACACACACACACACACACACACACACACACACACACACACACACACACACACACACACACACACACAATTGTAGGATATAATCTGTGAAGTACAATTTAAACAAGGTCACTATTAGCTCTTTAGCATAGAAATCATCTCTGTATAAGTTTATCTAGACTAAATGAAACAACTTCATTACAATTTGCACTTATGGAGTTTGTGCTTCTGACCTCAAAACTGTATTCCACAATCCCAAAAAGACAACTTACTGCAGGATAAAAGTTACTAAATTTGAAAACATTAAACAAAACATTAAACATATCAATAGAACAACAAAGACAAGGACATGTTTTCAAACCGGTTTTAAGATCACAATTATTCCCTGACAGCACTGGGACAGAAGGCTGTAATTTAAAACTAACTTTTAAAATCAAATAATAGACACACCTTTCACTCATGCCAACCACACCAACAACTGCTAATCTGTGTTTAGCAGCTTGGCCTGTACATTCAGGGTAATTAACGAACATGGAATTAAAACATCTTTAACCTAGCTGCATAAACACTAAAAAGAAACACGCTAATGAAAAAATTAACATACATTATGATTCAAAGCTCTCAGTTGACTGGTGAACTACGTGCATAATTAATTTTGTAATATATAAGTACTTATGTGAATATGCTTTAGGCCAGGAGTGGCCAAGTTGGGTCCTGGAGCGTCACAGTCCTGTAAAGTTTCACTCCAGTTCTAACTTAACACCATATACCAGGTAATCAAGATCTAAGTGATCCTAAATCTAAAGGCAGGCAGTTTTGTTTTTTGTTTAACATTGGATGCAGGACCGAACTTTACTTTACTGACCGAACCTTTACTTTAGGTCTTGTTTACACCTGTAATTAACATGCCTTTTTGAATGCATTTCCTGCAGTCACTTTTACTACAGTATTCTGCTAAAGAGAAGGTCATGTGGATGTCAGACATACAAGTCAATGTGCAATTTTTAAACCTTTGTTTACATGCACTGTGGACACATTGGTCACTTGTTGACGTCCAAAATGCACTAGAATACATTGAGCTACATTGTGTTTTTTTGCATCCCTTTGTGTAATTAGTGAGATCAGATGATGCTGCACTGCAACCTCTTTCTGCTTGTATTTTGAGCTTTCAACTTCAAATTAACAGAAATGAATGTTTATACCATGTGTAAACTAAATCCTGTATTTATTCACCAATGCACCCAAAATATAGCATTTTCTTTAAACCTAAAAAATATCAATTATCAAAGCCCTTGAAAATATAACATTTTGGTGAACTTTCATGTCATGAGTAATATTATCCTAAATAATAAGAATGTTGGAAAGAATTGTTTTTGTTATTTCCTTTGCAGTGTATAACGACATCAGGAAGAAAATCCAGACTTTCCATATCCCAAGCGTGATAACAGAGGAGCAGCAGGAATTTTCCCTATTGCTCTCATTGTGGGGGAGATCGACTAGCCTCGTCAGGAGACAGTTTCTATAATTGGTTAAAATGACCAAGTGCAGAGAAGGATGGCTCTCTGCTGAAAACCATTTCCCAGCTCAGCTTGGAGCAGAGCCAAGCCCTGGGTTGTTCGGATGCGTTCCAGCCCCAGCCTGACTGGCAGCAATTAGGGGTGTCTGAGCCAAGCTCAGCTTGCGCTCCGCACAAACACCCCTAATTACTGCCAATTAGGCTAGGCGGGTAGGCAGATTTGAGAAGCCGGGGGGATGTTCAGGCATGGGTGGGCATGGAAACAATTTTCAAGGGCTTAGAAACGTGACTAGAAGGAAAGGTTAATGCTTTTGAGTGCACGGAGGGAAGGAGGGAGGGGGGGGGAGTGTGGTGTCTGAGCCGTCGTCTCACCTCTAGTGATGAGCCAGGCTTCTTTTTTAGCTCCTCGCATTTCCGAAACTTGCAGATCTGGTGGCCCGTCTTACGGTTCCGACAACTGCTGCACACTCCACAGTTGATTAGCCTCCTGCAGGGCGCACAGACCCCACACCTTTTCCTTTTCTTTTTCGCTGGGTTTCCGCTGGATGCGGAGGAATTATTCTGTGGGCAGTCTGCCAGATTGGCAATTTGAAACGCACTGTCTGTAACGGCTGCTGAGGCTGCGGGGGAGTGAAGGGCTGTCATGACGATGACCCCGGGAGGTAATGAGATGCCCCCTAAAGCCGGAATAGCGGAAAAAGTTCCAACACGTTCCGGGAGATTCATTATCTCTGCTTCAGCAGCACCGCATTTCAGCTTGTTCATGCATTCTCCTGCTAAAGGTCTGCAGTGTTCAGGGGATAAGCTAGAGAGGAAATTATTATTTGCCATTTGCAGCGTCTCTGGCGGCACGCCAGGTTTCCCCGGCCTTTGGGAGTCGTTTCTATGCATGCTGGTCCTATTAGGGTTTATTGCTGCTGATTTCCTTCCCCAGAGCATGCCGTTATCACAGTTCCAAGGGGACACGCCAATTCTGGCGCTGGGAAAAATTGGTGTCGTTATGCGGGCAATCTTAGCAGTCTGTGGAAATGCTCCATTGGTTTTGTAAAAGTTTGCAAATGACCTGTATCTTTCCATTTCTGCATTGTAATCCAACAGCTGGCTTAATCCACCATCCTGAAGATTATCCTTTTGCAAGAGTGACACGTCGGTGCTCTGGCCGCTTTCAATGCAAAGTGCATTGTTGAGATTAGACATGACTGTTAAGTTTCAAGCACTCACAAATTTTTTTTGGTGAAGGGTGCCAGTTGTTCTTTTGAAGGTGAAGCTTGTTAGACACAACACATTACCATCCTGGGTTTATCCTCTCCACTAAAACAAGAGAACAAAATTATGCATACAAGTGACAAACATTTGCTGTGAAACTTCCAAGTGACTTAAATCTAGGAAAATTGCATTACTTGTATTTAAACTGTCAATTTAATGTCTTTATCCTTTTGTCATCAAAGTGGAAATTCTTGTAGCTCTAGCACTATATTTTGAATTATATTACTAAATAAAAACCATAATATATTTTGTCAGCACAGAAAGAAGAAATGGTAAAACATTGAGTACTTTTTAACCATAGGATTCTATAGGACCAATTGTGAAAAATGAAGTGGCATATTATTAAATAGCATAACAAAAAAGTTTTGTTTGCCAAAATATCTTCTATATAAACATAGTCTCATATCATGCTTATGAAAATATGTGGAAAAATGAATCACATATTAAGATTTAACCAATAATCCAATGATGCTTTGTGAGGCACACACCAAGCAAGCCTCTATCGTTGACAACTGGAGTATGTGTGGGGGATCCATTTCCGATCTCCCAGTCTGGCTGGGTTTTGTTGCCACAGATAAAAGCCCATTAGACACATCTTCCTCTACTTACATTACCTTTCACTAGGCTCTCTCACTCACTGCAAGAAGACTACAGAAATTCAAAGCATTGTGAACAGCTGGTTTTGAATTTAATAGTACATCTCCACCTGAGAGACAACACTGGATACCCATTCATATTCAAGACCCTGTCATTAATCATCTGAGACCTCACATGAATCCAGTAATGTTCTTTATTAAGTTTGTTTAAGAGGCTCACACTGCTTTATAACTTCCTGATTAAAAGCAAACAGATCAAAACTGAGTAACAGATATAATTTTACACTTACGAGCACGTGAAGTTTTTGTAACAATAAACCAACAGGTATTGTATTAATGACGCAAATGATTAATCTTCTATTATAATAATCGATTAGTTTTTGGTTCACAAGTAGCTCAAATGTGCCATTAAGCGTCGATTTGAAAGCAGTAAACAAAGTTCAGGAAATTAGAAATATCCGACACTCAGGGGAGAAAGAAAGAGGTCGAGAGTAGACAACTGTGCCGTCGATTGCAGCCGGAGACATTTAGATCAAATTGTATAATGGGATTTAATCACTCTGGCGCCTTCAAAACCACCCGAAATAAATAATAAAACAGTGGACATTCAGAAAGCATGCGCCACTATCGCTAAGCGAGAGAAGAAAAAAATGAAAGAGCATCACCTACCAGACAATCCAGACACCAGGGCAGCACATTACTGCGATGAATGCACAATAAACACACGCCGAGGGATCACCACAAAAACACCATCTTTACGCACAAAACGCCATTCTACACGTGAAGAAAAGTAGACGGAAAGGTATTTGTTTGCGATGGCGTCCGGGTTGAGCCTGTTGTCCGTGGAGCGATGACTGGAGGTGAGGTGTCTCCTGTCGCTGTGTGTGGCTGATTGGTGCTGAGGTGAGGAGGATGGGGATGTGTGGACACCAACTGATCATTGGCTGGAAATTACTATAGAAACACCAGGAGCTCTGGGGAGGGGGATGATCATCAATCTCCACCGGGAAACAGCGTGCTTTCTGTCGCTGTCTGTTTGCTAACTCTTTACATTATAGTCTCGGAGATTACATGTAAGTAGCTTATAACTAATTACAGGACTAAGTGTATTTAAAAGCTGCGACGCAAAATGTTATCATAACTGGGTTTCTCTCTAAACCTGTAAAGTAGCAAATTACTGCTGTAAATAAAAAAATAAGCAAACAAAAATAAAAAGGGAATCACCTCATGTCTGAAAATTGTCATGTAACGTGCTTCAGGTGTCAATAAAAACAAATAAACAGTTTTTTAAAATTATTATTTATTCAATGACTCTGTAAACTACAGAAAAAACTGGAGTCTAAGTAGTCAAAACACTGACTAAAAGACTGAAGATTGATTATTGCTTTTAAAATTGCTCACAAAAGCTGCTTGATTTTATAAAAAAAAATACAGTGATAATATTATTACAGTAATATCAAATTGATATTGTGAAACATTATTTCAATTTGAATATATTTTTTTTTCTACATTTTAAAATTTAACTTGTTCCTATGCTTAAAAGATTTTTTTTCAGCAATTTTTTTTTCTTAAATTCCGGCTTATATTTTGTGAAACTTTTTAAAATTTTTATTTATTTCAATGAATATAAAGTCAAAAAGAACAGCATGTGTTTGAAATAAAATATGTGATTATAGTCAACGACTATATTTAAAGACCATTTATGGTAATATATCAGAATTACAGAAAAATATAACAGATATGTGGAAATAAAGATCAAACTTTTAATGAACACCACAGACAAGTAATACTATTGCATATTCAGCTCTGAAGCAGGAATACATCACATTTTGAAATCTATTAACACAAAAACGTTATTTTGAATAAAACTAATATTTCACATTATTAACACAGTTTTTGTTTTGATCATAGAAATATAGCCAATAGAAGAGAAGATGCTTGTGCTTATTAGTTTAGTCTGTATTAAAGCCAAAATGGAACTAATCTAAGATCATAGACCAAAATTACTATACCAAAATAATACGTTATAGAAAAATATTGGAATAAAAAAGACAAAGAAAGAGACACATAAAAATTAAAATTTAGCAGTTTGTCATTTTTTTATATAGTTTTGTTCCCAAACATTATTTGTAGTTAGCATTTTAAGGTCTGATAGATGTGCAATCAAATGGATTCTTCATTTCAAGGTAAACAAAAAAGCAGAGTGAGGAAATTTTCACAGTATGTCTAATATTGTTTTTTCTTCTGGAGAAAGTCTTATTTATTTTATTTCAGCTAGAATAAAAGCAGTTTTTATTATTTTAAAACCCATTTTAAGGTCAAAATTATTAGCCCCTTTAAGCAATTTATTTTCGATAGTCTACAGAACAAACCCTCATATTCAATAACTTGCCTAATTACCCTAACCTGCCTAATTAACCTAGTTAAACCTATAAATGTAACTTTAAGCTGTAGAAAAGTGTCTTGAAAAATATCTAGTAAAATAATATTTACTGTCATCATGGCAAAGATAAAATAAATCCGTTATTAGAAATGAGTTATTAAAACTTGTGTTTAGAAATGTGTTGAAAAAATCTTATCTCTGTTTAATAGAAATAAGGAAAAAAATAAACAGGGGGCTAATAATTCAGGGCGCTCATAATTTAGATTTCAACTATATACTGTATATATATATATATATATAAGATTCTCCTGCTCACCAAGGCTGCAATTATTTAATCAAAAATACTGTACAAATTGTAAAAATGTGAAATGTTATTGCACTATAATTTAACTGTTCAAAAGTTGTTTACAGATTAATTTAATAATTTATTCCAGTGAATTTACAGATGAATTTTCAGCTTCGTTACTCCAGTCTTCAGTCGCATGGTCCTTCAGAAACCACTCTAATATTAGTTATTATATTCATTATTATTAATATTATTATCATTTTCAATAGTATATATATATCTTGAAAAATATCTAGTAAAGTTGGATTTGATGTCATCATGGCAAAGATGAATCAGTTATTATAAATGACTTGCTAAAACTATTAGGTTTAAAAATGTGTTGAAAAAAAACTTCTCTCTGTTAAACAGAAATTGGGGAAAAAAATAAACAGGGGGTCTAATAATTCTGACTTCAACTGTATACATGTATATTAATTCATTCATTTTCTTTTCGGCTTACTCCCTTTATTAATTTAAGGTCACCACAGCGGAATGAAGCGCCAACTTATCCAGCATATGTTTTACACAGCGGATGCCCTTCCAGCTGCAACCCATCTCTGGGAAACATCCATAAACTTATACAATATGGACAATTTAGCCTATCGATTTCACCTGTACCCCATGTCTTTGGACTGTGGGGGAAAGTGGAGCACCCAGAGGAAACTAACGCCAATGCAGGTAGAACATGCAAACTCCACACAGAAAAGCCGACTGACCCAGGCTCAAACCAATGACTTTCTTGCTGTGAAGCGACAGCACTACCTACTGCACAACCGTGTCACCTATATGTGAGTGTGAATATATATATATATATATTTAAAAGTGGACACAGATAATTTTTTTTAATCTAGATTAATCTAGATTAAAATGGCTCATATGAATTCTGCCGAAGCCATTCAGAACATGTGTGCTACCCAAATAATCTTAATAGTTTTTGAGAATGGGTTTCTCAAGCCAGGTGATGCATTAGACCAGGGGCTCATCTCCTGTTTTCAAAATGCATCACAAACTGCTTGAGAAACTGTGCTACTATAATAATTGGTGATGAAAATAAATTATGTCCAATAAGATGTACTTGTGTTTACTAACTGTTTATTCAGTTAAACATGAATTTTGAACTGTAGGCCTACATAAGCTCGAAACAGAAATTTTTGATGATCTTAATCAGACTAAAGTCATAACTGAACTAAACAGAAATGGAATTAAGATGTGGAGTATGCATATATTAGTGGCATTATTGAAGTAAAACGCACAATCAAACTATTACCATCATGTAGGACTTTTAGCCATATTTTCCAATACGATCCACACACGCAGCTGTTAAAGGACCACACACACACAAACACAAACACACACACATTGTGAAATGCAGAAGTTTTTTTTTTCTTTCCATTTGGTGTGCGTTATTAAATTTCATAACACTCTAACCAGTCCTTACCCCTTATTTGCGGCAAACACCCCAGTTTGTCACAGCGACATGAATGAAATGCTCATGAATTAAAGTGAATCTGCTGAACTGCAGTTAATGTCAGGCATCCTGCTCATTCGATTCAAAAAATGCATCCGCACTAAAATATCAAGGTGTATAGACCCTGCTCCCAAACCAACTGTAAGGAATAAATTAACGGCGATATGTTTTTAATCGCACGATATGATTCTCACGTTAACGCAGCACGTTAACGCCGCTAACGACTCACCACTAATATATATATATATGTATGTATATATATATTATATTTAACCTTTAACAGTTCTTAACATAATTAAGATTTAAGGAATCTCGAAGAATTTCAGTGCGTAAAAGACAAGGACGCATGCCCAAGCTGAACAACTGATCCCTCTAATCCCTCATGTGTCACTGCATCAAGAATCATCATTCATCCATAAGCGATATCACCACATGAGCTCAGGACTACTTTGGCAAACCTTTATCAAGTACCATAATGCATAGTTACATCCACAAATGCCAGTTAAAACTGTACTGTGACAAAAGGAAGCCCTATGTTAACAGTGTCCAGAAAAATAACTCTGGGCTCGGAGGCATCTGGAATGTACCATCACACAGTGTAAACGTGTACTGTGCTCAGTTGAATCTGCATTTCAGGTATTTTGTTTGGTAGAAATAAATGCCGTGCTTCGGACCAAAAATGAAAAGGATCATTCAGACTGTTACAAGCAACAAGTGAAAAAAACAAGGTTCTGTCACAGTATAGGACTGTGTCAGTGCCCTTGGCAAAGGTAACTCTGTGATGGTGCAATTCTGTGATGGCGCCATTAATGCTGATAAGTACATGGAGATTTTGGAGCACAATATACAGCCTTCGTTTGCAGGGACACCCATGCATTTAACAAGACAAAGCAAAACCACATTCTGCACACATTACCAAGTCCTGACTGTGGAGAAAGAGGATACAGGTACTTGGCTCATCTGCTTGCAGTCCAGACCTGTCTCCAATAGAGAATGTGTGGCGCATTTTGAAGTGCAAAATTTGACAATGAAGAACCTGTACTGTTGCCCACCTCAAGACTTGTTTGCAGGAAAAATAAAAAATGACAAAATTACACCTGAAACACATATTTTAAGTGTTGTTAAAAGGAATGGCAACATTACGAATTGGTAAATGCTTTACTGTTCCAACTTTATGAAATGTTTTGCAAGAACCAAAATTGGAATATGTGTTTTTTTTAAATAATTAAGAAATACAAATTATGAGGAACACATTAAATAATGTTTGTTGTATTGTCTGCAATGAAATACAAGTCAAAGTAAAATTTGAAATCACTACTACTATTTGCATTTTTTTATACTGTCCCAACTTTTTTTCTGATTTGGGATTGGGATTATATATATATATTAAGTTGTTGTATATTCCGGCTATACCGTGGCTGAGTAAAGCATAGGGGATCGCCAGTGGGTATCGCGCATATCAGGAACCTATACCCAAATGCAGGCTGACCAAGTGGGCATGCCAACAATGTAATGGGCTAGGCACCTGACTCCTCCGCTGAGTCAAATGCTGGAGGAAATCTGTAGGGTTTGCTAAATGGGGAACTCAACTGATCAGAGTAAAAAAGCACACATTTCTCTGTCAGGGATGCTGCTGGTAAAAAAGGGTGCCCTATGCGAAATTTTACTGTGGTGCCCCCAACAGAGGAACAAAATCACACAAACATATGTATTTAAACATGCATTTATTTATTTATTTATTTATATACATTCATAAGCACATACACACTCAAAATTGGTCTTAAACATTCAAATATTTACTATACAACATAATAGCTTACTTAAAAAATAATGTCTTTTGCAGAAGCACTCCTAATTTCAAACATTTACAAAAGGTAAGGAATAAACCCTCTCT